TTTCTTTCTTGTGTGTGTCTTAAGTGTAGGGCAATCAGCTTTCACGTGTCCAGGCTTCCTACATTCATAACAAATCATATCAGAGAATCCTTTAGAATATTTGTTATCCTAACCTTTTCTCCAATTTTGATGATGCTTTTGCTTCTTTCTTAGAAAGCTTTTGAATTGTCTTGTGATTAAGGCAAAGTCATCGCTTTCAGACCCAGAAGAGTCAGAGTCCGATTTGTTGGCCTTCAGTGCCACCATTTTCTCCTTTCTTTTTTCACATGCAACAAGATTTCTTTAATTCACCCCTTGCTCGTAAGTAATGAGTGAGCCAAATAAGTTATCAATTGAATAAGTGTTTAAATCCTTAGATTCAATTATTGCAGTGATTTTAGCATCAAAAGGCGAAGGCAAGCATATCAAAATTTTGTTTACTTTTTCATAATTTAAAAGTTATCTTCCTAATGCATGCAAAGAAGTTACAATTTGAGTAAACCTTGTATACATTTCAGAAATCGAATCAAAATATTTCATATGAAAAAGTTCATAATCATGCAAGAGAATATTCAAACGAGATTATTTCACTTCATTGGTTCCTTTATAAGTAATGCACAACCTATCCCATATCTTTTTACTAATAGAGCAAGTAGAAACACTCATGTAATCCTCAGACTTTAAAGCACAGAAAAAATAGTTCAAACACTTTGCATTAGGTTGAACTAAATCTCTTTCGTCAAAAATCCATTCAGTAAAAGCCACTTCAGTTTTAATTCCGTTAATTTCATGAGAAGGTGGAAAATATCCTTCTTAAATAAGCATGCGATAATCAGTTGATTTCAAAAAAATAGACATGCGAGTTTTCCAAAAATCAAAAAGAAGGTTGTCAAATAATGGAGGTCGTGTTATAGAATATCCTTCAGTTGTATTACGATTTCAAAAGTTAGCCATGGATCAAAATTTAAAAAGTTTTCAAACTCAGTTTTTATGAATCCCGCTCTGATACCACTTGAAAGTCGTTAGGGATGTTAAGCCCTATGAACCGGCCCAAGGCTAACCAAGAGGGGGGGTGAATTGGTATTTTAAAAAATTCTTTAAACAAAAGAAAAAATATAATAAACCAAAGTCACTACAGAAAAACAAGTGCGGAAAACTAAAGTGCAAAAGCCATAAAAAGAACACAAGGGTTTATAGTGGTTCAGTCAACTTGACCTACGTCCACTCCCCGGAGGCGCCCTCCGAGTATTGCACTACCAACATGACTCTCCTTTAGCCCCCATAGCTAGGCAGAGAAGCCCTTACAAAAATCTCCTTTTTGCCACCCCCGGCAAGAAAGAGAACCCCACTTCTTTTGCTTCCTCCTGAAGCAGGCATAAAACCTCGATCAATCGCTGAAGCTTACCTCTCCCAACCCTTTCAAGAACAAGAGATTCTAGTGTAAGAAGAATTGGAACAATGCTTGGAGCAACCCTTGTGAACTCCCTCACAAGCTCCCCCTCACAAGATCCTCTCTCTCTCTCTCTCACTCTCTCTCTCTTCTTTAGATTTTCTCAGGTCAAGACAGCAGCCAAGGATGTTCAAAAATGTTGAACAATAGCTCTTAAATAGAAGAGCTTCAAAGGAGCTCAATAATTGCAAGTTGCCGACTTTATCGTCCAGGACGATAATAATATCGTAATGTACGATCAGTTCAAAACACAGATGATCATCCAGAACACCGCTCTGAAAATGATCTCGATGATTGAAAATTGGCTTGATCACCCCGGTCGATTTCACGATCATCCCGGACGATCAGTTCAAATCAGAGGAAAATCATCTAGAGTATCGCCCTAAATTTGAGCTGTCCGATCCTGATCGGCTAGAACATCACCCTGAATTTGTGCTGACCGATATTTATCGTCCAGGAGCAACTAAGGGTTTTTGAATATATCATTCAGGACGATTCTGAGATCATCCAGGACGATGTGATTGTATCAATTCATCCTCAATTGCTTCCTTGATTGCCGGATCAATTTTGGCATAATTGTGCAACATCGTTCAGGCCGATCCAAGATCGTCCTGGCCGATTTCTAAAAATACAGTATACCTAAATTGATTATGGCGGCAATTTCTTTCTATTTTTAGCCTATCGTCCTGGCCGATACAAGTATCGTCCGGGCCGATTGGCTAATGACGGCTGCCTTAATTAAAAAATCCTGATTAGAGTTTCTGTTTTGAACTCGATCGTCCAGGCCGATATAAATATCGTCAGGAACGATGTGAGTAAAATAGAAATTCTAAATCTCTCAAGTGTGTGTGTGTGTAGGGTTACTTAACATCAGTCATTTCAAGCATTTACAATTGACTCAAAAAAGGGAAAAAAAGAAAATTACAGACTGACTTAACCTTAATCTACTCAGTCTTGAGCTGGTTCCGATTTCTGTTTGATCTTTGAATCCTGAAAATGTTAGTAGTAAAAGGCAGTCGAAAAGAAGCAAGAGTGTTTGCTAATCATCAAAACATAATCCATGAAACCGAATTTGCAACACTATGGTCGTGCTGACCAAACAAATATGTCTATATTGTAACTCTCACCATATAATGTACTATATATGATGTACATTTATATCATCAAGCCAAAAGCCCCGTAGTTTTTCCCCCAAGGAAGGGCCTCATTTGTAATCGACTACAAATACTAGTTGATTCATTCAAACTGGATCAGGCCCCGTGGTTTTCCCCCCTTTTCAAAAGGTTTATACTTAAAAAATCTAGTGTGTCTTATGAATGCTATACTCTCTCTCTTATCTGATTGTGTGCTGGATCTTCATACAGCGTTAAGACATTAAACTTTATATTTCTCTACCGCCACGAATACTCCATGACGTAACAATTATAAGTACATTAATCTAACCAATATCATTATTCATGAATTAATTTAAACTTAATATATTACTTTTTTATTATTTTATTATTTTTTAGTTTTTATTTTTTTATTTTTTTAACTTAATATATTACTTGAGTTACTCTAAGGTCTAAATTATAAGTTAACTTAATTTAAAATAAATATCCATAAATTAATGTTGAATTAACATAATTATCTATAAATTATCTAATAAATATAATTATTCATGATACGTCATCATAAAATTATCTTGATTGGGCACGAATCTCGAGACAAAATTAGTTCGGAAACTTCAAAAATTAAATTCGAGAGCATATGAACTTCGATTTCAGCGAGCTTATAGTCAAACTGAGCGTCTCGGAAATACGAATCCAACGACACCAAATTCGACACAATCCGAGTCCAAATGGGTCCTAATCAAGGACCCGAAGCGCTGTTGGAAGGTTCAAACCACAATTTGAGTTATCAAACGGTCTTCGATTTTGGCGAGCTTATACTCGAATCGAGCGGCTCGACGAGACAAATCCAACGAGCTCAAGATTGCCGAATTCTGACATCATTAAGGTTTCCAAATATCCAACGAACGGTGCATAATCAAAGGGTTCAATATCAGCCATCCATTCAAACCACTCCCTATTCGCTCCTGATCTCACGCCTATTTATGAGCTATGCCAATCCAGAAAAACTATAAATAGAGCCCTCATTCTACACAAAGGGGACTCAAGTGAAGAGAGAGAAGAAGAAGAGGAGAAAGGGGAAAATGAGATTCCTCACCTCCTCGACCACCGCCGGAGCTCTTCCTGCCGCCTGAAGACGCCGGAACTCTGCCGGATTTTCAGGAAACGCAGGAATTCTGCACAACTTCCACGTGATGCTGAAATCCTTCCCAATTAACAACGGAGTTCCCTCCTGACGCCGAAACTCAGCCCAAGTGAAGCCGGAGTTCTCCTCTGCCAGCAATGACGTCGGACCTTCACTCTTCGCCAAGTTTCTACCCGACGTCGGACTTCTACCGGTTATCGGACTTCGTTGGACGTCTATGCGAAGATGCATTTCTTTCCATTGCTGGACTTCTACCTGACGCTGTCCTACTGATCTTCGTCGTCAGACTACAGTCCTTCCGACCTCCGTCGCCAGCCGACTACGGTCCTCCTGACTTACGTCGCCCGCCGACTACAGTCTTTTCGACATCCGTCGCCCGTTGAATACGGTCCTCTTGACTTATGTCGCCCGCATACTACAATCTTTCCGACCTCCGTCGCCCGCCGACTACGGTCCTCATGACTTACGTCGCCCGCCGACTACAGTCCTCCGTCGCCAGCTGACTACGGTCCTCCTGACCTACGTCGCCCGCCGACTGCAGTCCTTCTAACAAAGCGAATATGTCGATAGTAGCTCTTTGTATTTACATCATGTAATGTACTCCATAAGATGTACATCAAGCTAAGGCCTTCTCCCAAGGAAGGGCCTCATTTGTAATCGACTGCGAATACTAGTGGATTCGTTCAAACTGGGCTAGGCCCCGTGGTTTTTCCCCCTTTTACAGGGGTTTTCCACGTAAAAATCTTGGTGTCTCATAAATGCTAGACCCTCTCTCCTTATCTGATTGCGTGCCAGATTTTCGTACAATGCTAAGACGATAAACTTTATATTTCTTTACCGCCGCGAGTACTCCTGGATGCAACAATTCATAAATTTGTTTAAATTTAATATATTACTTAAGTTATTTCTGACCTAAATTAACTTTTAGCTTAATTAAAAAAATAATTATTCATAATTTAGTTTCAAATTAATAAAATTAATTTTAAATTAGTCTATCTCATATATTTATTTAAAAATTATTTAAAATTAATATATTACTTAATTTATTACCAGCCCAAATTACTTAACTTATTATTGGCTATTTCCCAACTCTCCATACTCCCAACTCGCTAAATGTCCTGAATTTCTTAAATTGTACGGCACATTTATGAGTCAAAATATTTGGTGACATTGCTCATTTTTAAATTGAGGTTTATTTGAGACAGTTTTTTTAAAGTTTTTTAAAATTATTATTTTTGTTTAAAAACATTATTAAAAATTTTACATTATTAAAAAAAACCTGCTAATTTAAGATTTTCACCTATATTCTTCCGATAGCTTTTAGGCTGTCAAGGGTTTGTTTTTTCTCTGTTCGACTTCGCATAGTTTTGGACTCTTCGCCTTCTCAGACGAGGTTACCTTGCTGTCGGATCGGTAGTCAGGACAGTTCGACGACCTTCTTCCTGCTGGATTGGAAGCAACGACGGGAGCTTAGTGGCTGCGAAGGTAACCATCTTACTCCGCTTTCGCACGCTTCTTCGGTCAAATCCCGTAACTCCGAAGGCAAAAAGAGGGGAACGGAGGATTTAATTTTCCGTGAGATTTAAGATGTAAATTTTGTGTGTTTGGCAGGATTTAGCTCAAAACCTGCTCAAATTAAATCTTGCTACCGAACAGCCCCAAATTGTGTTCGTCGCTGAGGAATGTCTTACTTGCTACCGCATCTGCACTCAGGATGGGCAGTTGACCAGGCAATACTGGCTGAGGAGGAACGCCTCGTCATCATTCGATTTGGTCATGATTGGGATGAAACTTGCATGCAGGTTCTTTATCTTTCCTTTCAATTTTTCTTCCTTTCTTTGATTTAATTGGATATATTTCAATTTTATCTTGTGTACAATGCCTTCCTTGGAGATTCGCTCGTTATCCTATTCGTTGACGTCAGATTAGGGTTTCGGTTATAGTCAGGTTTATTATGTGGTTTTCTTTCTGATGTCTCCATCTCCATCATTAGCTACACGAGTGAAGGTTGTCCGCTCAATGAATTTTGTTAGAAACCTGCTCCTTGATGCGTTTTAATTGTTGGAATTTTGTTGGAATGTTAATATTAAAAACTAAGTAAACTATTGTGTCTGCTGGTCTAGTCAATTATACTGGACTGTGATAATAATATGATTTTAAGGCTTTCATATTCTCGGACAATTTGCATCAGCCATTATCGTTTGTCCTCTCTAATTCTAGGTCATGTCAAGGTCTTTCTAAGTTTTTTTTATTGGTTGGAAAGTCTTTCTAATTATTTTTTTATTATTATTGGTAGGAAAGTCTTTCTGAGCATTCATTGATGCATTCCTCAACATTTTATTCACGAAAACACTTTATAAACATGAATTTCAGTTATTAATGATGTGTATGTAGAACTAGTGAATGTTGCATTTTCACTATTCCCATTTTGTAAGGATAAATGATATTCATCACATCAAACTTAGTGTATTGAGTGAGATATATTGTCAAGTAAATAATGGTTATTGAAGCTTAGCTACATTCTTCATAAATCATGTGGTATTTGACAATTCATGTGAATAACTTTCATGTTTCTTAAACTTTTATTTAGGATAAACATCCACAATATAATTAGGATTTTACATGAATTTAAGCTGGAATATGTAGGCAATCAGGTATATTGTGTAAGCTTGAAAATGACTCAACAGTCGTCCACCCACATCCTATTGATTGGTGCTTAGTCCCCCTTTCTAGAGGTTGTAGGTTTGAGAAGAGACATGAATATGCATATGAGATTCTTATGCTTTGTGCTCAATGCTGTCTCCAACGCCCGCCCGCCCGTCCCTAAATCTAAAACACGCACAGTGTTATATATATGGTTAAGTCAGATTATGCTTGTATTTAAGCTATAAGACATAGGCTAGTGCTTACAGCAAAATGATTCAATAAAAAAAAAGTAGCAATGCATTCGAGGAATGAGATTGTTGTACAAGCTTGTATGTGATGGCTATGATGTTTGCATGCCCTATGAAGTAAAGGGAATGATTATGGCAGGATTATGCACGTTATTAAGATTGCAAAAATCAGAAGTTGTATTCATAAAGAAAATCTAGTAGACAAGGATGAAAAAAATGAGAGTATGTTTTGGTACATAATGTTGAAGGGTCTATAGTTATGCAACTAGATGATGTAATTGATGTAGATCACACGTAATAAATTGGGATTCATAGATCAAAGAACATCAGATTAACTACCCACTTTCTCGAATACTTGTGTTTGTAATTTTAACACGTTTGTCGGAGCACATGCAAGGTGTATTTATTTTAAGGGATCATATTTAATACATAAGCGGCATTTTAAAATATTTAATTATGATTCATTTACGCAAGTGATTTCATTTAACGTGCCCAAGATTTCATTGAAGGGCCTACGAACGCCTTCTGTCCGCTTGTATAAGTACGTTACAGATCTGGTGGCGTTACTTTAAATTAGGTTTCATTTATAACACATAGAAGATATCCCTTTGTTGTTATTATCCCACTCAACATAGCTTGCAGGGAATGCTTGTTCAATAGGCATTAGGAGATTGTGCTAGTATTCATAGGAGAATTATCTTGCTTGCTATAAGTTACCCTATTCTCTCCCGTAGTTAGATTGATTTATTTGATATAAGCTCCTTGTCATTGCTTGTAAACTAGTTGTTGTGGGCACTACAAATTCCTTGCTCCCTTTTATAGGTGAATTATAGTGTGTTGTATTTTGCCTTTGGGTTGAAGGAAATGGTTTGAAGCACCAATCACTATAGATTTTGACAAATAGAACCCTTTTTGTCGAATGGCATGTATCATCCTTGAAATTGAAAGTCACATATATGACTAATATAAGAGGACTATCAACTCGTAAGGGTGTTTGTTGAACAAAATATGTTGTTTCTTGCATTTTTTTGTTTAGTAGTTTGAAGAGCTTCTCTGTTAGAGAGCTATTGTGTGAGCTGCCACTTGTTAGAGAGCAATTTCAGAGTTGTTGTGAGTGTTGTTCTTGCTCAGAGAGTTGTTTTGTTTGGGTTATTCAATTGGAGAGCTGCTCAGTTGAAGATATTTGTGAGAGATTGTATTTAGATTGAATTATTGAAAACATTTCATTTTTGTGTTGTGTTTATTTTATTTGAATTGCATTACTTAATCATGTTAATAAATTAAGTGATTTTTAATTGAACTTAAGTTTTTTTTTAATTAAAATTAATTATTCGAGTTTATTAATTGAAGTTTTGATTTACATTATTAATTGAATTTTTAAATTACTTGTTTAATTAAATTGATTTAAAAGTTTTAATTGTTTAATTTGATAATTTAAATATTTAGTTTGAATGTATTTTAAAATTATTTATTTATTTAAATTATCGATTAGATTTAGTTGCCCATTCATTTAAAGGATTTAATTAATATTTTAAATTAAATGATTTTATTAGTGCAGAACTTTAAATTGATTCATCTCAAATTCATAATGCATCAAATGATATCACAAAGGCCAATTTTAGGAACTTTAAGTTGGCTTTTGAAAAAATGTCTAGCCTCAGATTATTTGGATTATTTCATTTTTCATAGCTCTCGAAAAAATCCAGCATATCCATATTAGAGAAAATCATTCCAACTTATTGTGCCTTTGGGGGAGGCATTGAGGCCGGCTGAAGGGCTTGTAACATGCAACAAAGTGCATTAAATATGCTCCAGAGGACATAATAGAGAGCGATAGTTGAATCAATTTAAAGTTCAATTTATTTCAAATTAAATTTTTTTATTACTTTAAATTTCATTTGATTTAATTATGTAAATTACAATGGGGATTAATCAATTAAGGAGAAGTTTCAAAACTTGGTTTCAATTAAAATGATTAGTTAGTTAATTAGAGGTTTCAAATTCAATTTAAATTGACTGTAATTTAATTAGTGAGTTTCTAATTGAATATTAAGGTATCCTTTGTTTAGTTAACATATTTTAAGTTTGATTAAAATTTAGATTTCAATGCATTCATTTTAATTTATTAATCAAATTAATGTAATGGTTAATTTCAGATAAAATTCATGTTTTCCAAAATCCATCTAAGTCCAGAGGTTTTGAGAAAATTTCGGCAGCCTCCCGGCATCCACTCCCTGGCACCGGGAGGTAAGGAGGGCATTTGCCTTTTCAAGTTCGCCCGGTCGGAGCGAATCAACGGTCAAGGGCTTCGAGACGTTGTTGGATCTTGGAATTGGTATTCGGAAGCTTTGATTGACGATGATTGGTTGTCAGAGATTCTTGTCGATTGCCTTTCAAAAATTTGTCCAAGTTCTTAATTTTTGAGAAAAATTTCGGCAGCTTTCCAGCGTCTCCTCCCCGGCACTGGGAGGTAAGGAGGGCATTTTCCCTTTCAAGTCCACCCGGGCCTGAACGAATCAATGGCCAAGGGCTTTGGGATGTCGTCGGGTCCCGGATTTCATGTTATGAAGCTCCAATTACCGATGATTAGTTGCAGATTAATTGCCGTCGATTCGTTGCCAATTGCCTTTCCCTTTTCTTATTTTATTTCATTCATTTTTTCATTTTTTTTATTTTATAATATATATATATATATAATCTGCAACCGGCAATCGTCAATAATATATACTAGCATGAGGCTTACGCCCGACATTGGACTCTATAGGAAAGGAAGAAGGGGAGAGAGCAGTTCATCATAATTATGATTCAAATGAAGAACCCCTTAGCGATGACAGTGTTGATGACTTATGAGTTATTATGAGATATGTCATTGCTATTTATTTTTGGAAATTGGAATTATATGTTAATGAAAAGAATACTGGGATTTGGGAAAGATAGAATTTTGAGTTGAACTATATTTCATGTTATTTTATTATTGGGATATTTTTATTTCACTTCATTTTTTATGCTTTTTTATGCTTTATATTATTCATTCATTAGTACATAAAAAAATATCATTTTATGTTTACGAAATCTTTTGATTTTGAGGCTTACGCCTCAAAATGCCTTGAGGCTTACGCCTCGCCTCATGAATGAAAAACGCCTCAATACCCGAATACGCAATTTTAAACATTGTATATATATATATTGAGAGAGGGAGGCGGGATAGAGCAAGAGACGGAACATCCGGCTAGGGCTTGGAGACAAACAGGCTCAGACGCTCGACTGTTTGGTCGGTGGGCTTCGGGTTGGCCGGCGAAGGCTAGGGTCGGCCGGTGACGGAGGGTCCCTGGTCGGCGTTGGCTTAGATTGACGGAGGGTCCAGACTCGACAGGCTTCGGTCGGTGAAGGAGTTTGGCCGGCGGCTCCGGCTTGTAGATGTGGTGGAAAGTCGGTGAGGTCAGGTTGGCTTTGAGCTCGGAGAAGGAAGTGCAACCGGTGATCTGGAGGAGATGCGGTCGGAGATGGTGCAGTTCGATCTTTGAGCGAGAGCACTGTAAGTTTCCCGAAATCTTCTTTCCTCTTTGCTTGGGATTCTGATTGCGTGAGAGTGAATGAGGGATTTCATTGTTTTGAGTCATGAGTTTGCGGTTATTTGCGATTGTGGGGAAGTGGTTGTGACGTGGGGATGACGGTTGGGTCGTGGGTTTGGTCCGAACAAAGGTTTTAGGTCAACATATATAAAGATTTCAAGTCACGTCAGTGCAAGGGGATGATTTCCCTCAGAAATTAGTAGTTGCACATGTGTTGCAATCTAATGAACTCACATCTAATCAAACAAATAAGATTGAATAGAAACTGAAATTTTATTAAGCCAAAGTTTTTTTTTTTTAAAACCTGTAATAGAGATCTATTAATTTATAAAAAAG